ACTAGGCTGAGATATTGCATCTAAACACACCACACATGACGACAATCTGTAAAGCAAATCCTTTACAGTACATATACCAAGTATACTTTTAACATGCCATGTACTGAGGACGCATGGACCAGATGCGCGACACGTGAGTTATGAGTTTTGTGGTAGCATTGATATAGGATGAGTATGAGTATTAATATTGGTATTAGTATTAGTATCAGCAATAGTATTAGTGTTTACTGTAAGTATGTATATATATATATATGTATATACCGACAGTAGTAAGTATACATTAATGTTAGTGCTCATCTTCGTTTTAGTATTAGTGTTAGTGCCAGTGTGAATGCCAGTAATAGTACCACTACTAGTATTAGTATCAGTCTTCATGCTGGGTTTAATATCAGTTAATAATGGCAGAGGTGCTAGTATTGGTATCAAAATTAGCGTTAGTTTCGATATGTTACTATTCTGATAGTTTCGTATATCAGCAGGTTAGTATATCAACACATTGATGTGTTCGAGAGGCAACATATTTGTATACTTGCATATTCGTAGATTTAATACTTTAGTACAACTGATGCATGAGTAAACTATTATATTGCTGTATTAATATATTAATATATTAACATACCAGTATATTCGTACATTAGTGTATTAGTATACTAGTATATGCAATATACGTGTATTGTCTAAAGGTTTATAAGTGTATCAGTACGTTTTCATATTAGTACACTAACCTGCCACGTCGGTATACTTGCATATTACAGTAGTCGCATACTAGTATAGTAGCATACTAGTATAATAGCATACTAGTATAGTATATTCACACATTAACAAGTAGTGTATTGTTACATTGGTATATGGGTATATGCTTGTCCTAAAACATCAGTACATGAATGCATTGATACATATCGGCATTTTAAGTTAATGGTATGTGTTCTGGTGTGCATTAGCATATGCACGTGTCTTGTGTAATGGTATTAGTCTTCACATCAATATGAATATGACTATTGGTATTCGTAGGAGTATTAGTGTTAAGATTCGCATTAGGATTATCCATAGTCGCATTAGCCTTAGTATAAGTGTTAATAATGATATTAATACTGGCATTATCTTGAATATTCAGCAACTTATCAATGTCAGTATTAGTATTGGTGACAGCATTACTGTTAGCAGCATAAGAGTATACGCAGTAGTATCCGTAGGAGTATCAATACTTATGTAAATCTTGGTGTTGGTATAAACAGTGTGATTGGTATTAGTAATAGTGCTGGTGCGAGTGCTAATATTAAAATGAGGTTATGTATTCGCATGAACGTTTGTCTTATATTAGTATTACTCCTGATTACATGAAAATACTAACAGATAAATACATGCATGAGCTAATGTATTTGTACTTTAATATAGTGGTATGTATATTTATGTACATTGGTATATGCAGGTGTGTATTAGTATTGGAATTAAAATACACTACTACCAATATGGGCATAATTATTGATATGCGTAGGAGTATGAACGTCAGTATTAATCATTATTAGTATTTGTTATTTGTATGGTGCCTATTCGTATTGGCTTAAAAAAGTGTAAATATTAGTGTTAATGCTGGTATTAGCTTGGGCAGTCAGCAAATGATCAATGTCAGAATGAGTATTGGTAATAGTATTCGTAGGAGTACCAATTTAGAAAAATAGATAAACACTGACAGTCGTCTAAACAGACCTTGCCTTTGCAAGTGAGTCGTAGTGCATGGTCTGTCATCCGATGGGTCACAATCAGCCCATTGAAAATCAATTCCAGAAGTTCCAAAATTTCCAAAATTTCCAAAATCTCCGAAATCTCCGAAATTTCCGAAATTTCCAAAATTTCCAAAAATTACAAAAATTACAAAAATTCCAAAATTTCCAAATTTCCAAATTTCCAAAATTTCCAAAACGGCCCGACCTAGCCGACAGGATTTTTCCAAAACATAAGGGCGGACTTTTTGGAAATTTTGGAAATTTCGGAAGTTTTGGAAATTTTGGAATTTTTGGAAATTTTGGAAATTTTGGAAATCCGGAAAGTTAGGGGAGAGAATTTTGGAAATTTTGGAATTGGTGGTTCCACAGATACGTTCGGAGGGCTCAAACTCGATACCCCGGAAAAAGCACGAACACGCCGGTGGGAGCGATGTTTTGAAGGGGATGGTCTGTCATGGGGGGGGGTGACCATATATATATATATATACATATATATATATACATACTTATATACACATACACACACATACATACATACATACATACTTACATACATACATACATACATACAAATATACATATATATATATATACACATGTTTAGAAATAAATATTGAGGGGCCTCACAAATTACCAGTATCATTGTGGGCGTCCCTTATTATAGTTATAATAGAATGGGCATCAAAACCCTATTCTAATTCTCAAGGCCCCTATATTAACCCCCAAATCCTGTTTTCCAAGTCCACTGTAAACCCCTCAACTTCAAAAGATCACGCCCGCCGCCTTGCATCCCAAGCTTTAAAGACATGTCAAGCCTGATAAATCCTAAGCCATAAAGCGACCTCAATGATCCGTAGGGACTTCTAGGGTTTATCGGGAGTTGTGGAGTTGAGGTTTCGGGCTTCAGGTTCAAGGTTTGGGTTTAGTAGTTGGGTTTAATGCACAGTGTTTAGGGTTGAGGTTTTGGGGCCATAGGTTGGAGAACAAACGCATCCACCTATAGCCGCTTTAAAATCAAATACCGATATATTTCAATACCTTATTCTAGCGACGAAGGCCCCTAAATTCCCTCCCCCCCCAACCCCATGACCCGTATTGAAAGACTGCCTAAAAAATCAGAACTCGAACAGAGTAGGGTTTTCAGGGTTTGGGTTTACTTTACGGTTGGGGTTTCCAGACCCTAAACCCTCATCGTTGAGCATTAAACGATATAAATCCGTGACCTCCTAAACCTTAAACCCGCAACATTCAATCCTAAAGCCGAGACCTTAAATCGCAAGCCCTATAATCCGTAAACCCTACATCGTATATAAGCCCCCAAGCCCGAACCATTGCATCCCCTTTTGAGCTTACCCTGTTGTTTCCGGTTTAGGGTTTAGGGGTCCAGGTGTAAAAAGGGTTTAGGGTTTCCAGGAGCATCCTCGCAGTTCTCGGCCTCCTTCTCATGCGCGCTGCCAGCGCGAACTTGTCACTCGCAGACTTTACGGTAGACTATTAGGGCTTCATGTGGGTGGTTGTCAAAATTAGGGTCCCTTTTTGGGGTACCCTGAATAATGGGTGCCTAATTATAATAGGGACCCAACAAGGGACCATAATTTTGACAACCACCCATGTTTGCTTCAAGCTATGCTCCGGAACAGTATATGCAAGAAGTGTCAAGTAACAGACATGCCTAGAGGGCCAGGAGGGTAAGGGGTGGATAGTCGTAAGTAGGCTTAGAAGCCCTTTCACTTCAGCCCCAAAAGCTCATCGTGTACACTTATCCTCATCGGAATGTTCCCTGCTTGTAGCCGACCGAGCTTACCACATCCCTTTATCGTTCACCACGATTACGCGGTTTCACGACTCTACTGCGATAGAACGGCTGCGGCGTGAGCCCTGCAGGAGATCCGTGTGAACCGTGAGTCGTGGAGTCAATAATCAATCCGCAACCCTGAGCCCAGAGGCCTAGAGACCTGTCATGGGGAATCCGTAGCTGTAGCATCATCTGGATTTCTGAGCCTCTTAATGTAGGGGCCTAAACAATTAATGATGCTACTTTGGGGGGGGGGTCCCTATAATAATTGCCGTATGATGGGCACCAAAACCCTGTTCTAATCAATTATTAAGGTCCGTATATTACTTACTTCAGCCAAGGTTACCCACTCTTTTCGTCCTGGCATTGCTTGGGCTGCAGCTGGCAGTGACACTTGGCTTTAGGGTTTTAGGGTCAAGGGTTTAGGGGTCAAGGGTCTGAAGGTTGTGCTGCTCGATGGTAAGCCAGGGCCTCCAAAAAAAGGGTGTTGAATCCTTTCAAAATCTTTCATCTCTAGCCAATGGACACCTACTTTTGGGGAAGCCCATGCATGTGATCTGTAGAAACCACGGTATGCATTTTACATTTTCCGGTGGTTCGGGCGGCAGTGGAGCCCCAACAATAGTATGATGCCCGTCTTCTCCACTGTAGCTAGAACTTAGGCCATCATCGCTACACCATGTTTGTAAGTAGCAATAGTGCTGGCGGTATGTGTGTTGCTAAGGATCAGGATAACAATGATAGCAGCCAAATTCACAATAGCTATAACACTAGAAACCACAATAGTTGTATTCGAAGTAAAAAATGCACACCATAATAGTCGATCGCAGAAAGAAGCCATAATAGTCACAGAATGACAACAGTATTGCACAACTCGCCGACGTCGGACGCGTCGACCTTCAACCAGACTAGCGCGTAGGTGGTTACGGTCAGGATTTTAGGGTTAGGAATTATAAGGGATTTAGTAATTAGGGTTTAGAGTTTAGGGTTCGGTGTATCAGGGAGGTGCTATTCCACATTCAATGTTTGAACGACCGGTCAGTTTATGATTCGCTATGCGAAACGAAGTTCCGCAAAGTATGTTTTACTTAATCCTAATCTCTTCTCTAGAGCCGAGAGACGAGCTTGGAAGGGCATCGCAACTTTCTGGTGGCTTCGTCGACCGGGCTTTGCTCCTCTAAGCTATGGGTGTGCGGTTTAGGGGCTCACAGCACTAATAAAGTTTGACAACCCCACCAGTTGTCTCCAAATCTGAACCATTTACAGAGCATTGACCTGCGCGATTTTTTCTATTAGTGTGAGATCGTCGCCTACTCTGCTATCCGCTAGTGTTCAACCTCGAAAGCATTGGCGCTCTTATGTTGCTTCGTTCGTCAGCAGAGAACATCCAGCCATGAATCTTGAGGGAACACAGCCTACCTTCTCGAAGGGCTTGCGTAAGTAAGTTTTAATTTTCCTGTTCCTCTAACCTCTGTGAGCAGGAATGGTGTCTATGCGGCCCAATGTGGTTTGCCGGCCGACTTCCTGGATACTGTGGAATCCTCCGGATCAGACAAGGCCAGCGAAGCCCCCGGTACGGTTTCAGGGGGCATTATGTTTTTCTACGCGACGTAGTACGCTTTTAAAGTGTTTCGGTAAGAAGCCCAGTTGCCTAGATAGTAGGTTACTAGGCTATGCCCGCGCTTATGTGTACATAGACCTGTAGGATAAGTAACCACCACGTAAGTCGCCACGCTTTTGGGGACCATCTGAGGCCTGTTAATCATGGTTTGTGCTCGCACTTGCTTGACATTTCTCGGCTGGTGCTTCGACTGTCGGGAGGGATGGTTCAACTTGGGAGTGCCCTGTATTGAAAGTACTTGTTTGACGGCGGGTTTACAGAAGCAAGGCCCCAAGAAAGAAACCCTAAACCCTGAACCCTCAAACGGCCCTCAACGACAAAGCTCCTAGGCCTTCGATGGCATGCCCCGTCTTCCGGGAATTGCTAAGCCCTCAGTCGTATCCCCCCAAGCCCTTAAACTTCAGTCTACACCGCTAAGCCTAATCGAGCAGGCAGTGGATTTCGAGAAGCTTCAAATCACGAGGTGGTTGAGTAAATCCTGCCCTGGAGCCTGAGACACTTTGGGCTTAGGGGTTAGCGGGTGAGGGTTCATCTTGGGGCTTAGGGCTCCTCCACCTTGTGACTTCATGCACGATGTTGGCGTCATGACGCTGCTTCGGGGCTCCGAGGGCTAGAAGGGCCTGAATCACGGATTAAGGGTGCAGAGTTTAGGCTTAAAGTTCTTCTAGCGATCCTACCATGAAGCATCCTGTAAGAGTTCCCAAGGGTAAGTACCCTTGACAAGATTAAGGTCAAAAGCTTATCGTTTAGGGCAGGTTTTGAAGGTTTGGGTTGAGGGTTCAGGCTTTCGGGCGGAATCTAGTTTTGCAATCGTACTTCTGATGTCTTGTCGGAGCGATACCACCAACTCAGACGTATTACACGACATAGAGGCCCGAAGAATCCGTCATAGTAACAATGTCCCTTAGTAAAAGCTGCTTCCCGCACAGGCTGTGGTTAGTGGCCTCGTTGCCATGTATACGAGCCTTGCCAGAATCGGGTTGTGGGCTTGGGGCTGCAGGGTATACTTCAGGAAGGTGATGGGGTTTTGGGGTGTGCGGTTTTGCGATACCTAGAAAGTTGCCTCCTTCGGCCCAGAAGATACAGAGAGGCCCTTGGAGGGTCGGGCTCGCGGTCTCGTACGCAGGGGTTCAGGGTCAACGGGGTCTAACCACTCATGCGTAGGTCAATGTAGGTAATCAGGATTCGGTATAGGAACTATGTGTGTATGTGCGTTGGTGCCTACCCTTTGAGGTGTGTTGCATTTTGAGTACCTGGAAGTAGAGGGAAGACTTGGCTACCTTCGATACGCCACTATCAACATTGATGCAGTCTTCGTAGTTAGTTAAAGCAGTCTTCATAGTACTGTATACTAATTAGTAACAGCAGCTGCCTGGGAAGAACAACACCAAGACTAACAATGGCTATCGTACCAACCGAAACCACGGCCATAGCCGCAAGTATTTACTGCAAAGCCTGCAAAGCTTAAATCGTCAGCCACTATATCCAACTTGAACCCTACACCCCTCACCCAAGCCCAAACCCTCAACCCTAAAGCCGTCAATGCAAACCCCGAACCTTCGATTCGACACAACGGACACAAACAGAGCTCGTTCGTTCTCTGAGGTTTCTTGGCTCCTTGCTCTCCATGACCATTGTTATCCTCACCAGAAACATGCCGATCCAGATACACTACCTGATCTACGCGCCGTGGCAGCAGGTTTAGGGTCTAGGCTTTTGGTTCAGATACACTCCTAGTTGTTCTAGGCCTCGCGGCATGGTTGGCGGTTTGGGGCTGTGATTAGTATTTGAGTAGGTAAGCTTTCCCCGTTTGGGGCTGCGCATAATATGGAAGCTTTAGTAGTTGCACATTGTCTCCCTTAGGCCTTACACAGGCCCTTGTGTGTGTATATATATATATATATGTATATATATATATATATGTATATATATATATATATATATATAGATGCACTACCATAGACACCAAAACCACGTCGTGGAAGATGGGTAGGGTGAGGCGAGTTCAGCGGTTCGGCACTCCTGGCGTGTGTGCCTATGGGACTTGTGGGCTGAGGGCGGGAGTACGGAGGCCCCTGGAACTGGAAAAGAATCAAGCCCCCAGAGCATAAACCCTCATGTTGAGCCTTGCAAAAGTCTTTAGAGAATCCCGGTTCTGATTATAATGTTAAGGCCACTGCCGAAGGCCACTGGATTTCATAAATGTATCCGTATCCACCAGCTACAGAAGCACAGACAGAAAGAACATAATGTGTGTGTAGATGTATATTTACATGTGTATATATATATGTATATTTATGCACAAATACACGAATATTGAAATAGATGTCTATACATACGAATCTACATATATACATGTACACAGACGTGTACAGACAGCTCGGAGAGCTCCGCAAGCTTCTTTTTCTTGTTTCAGCACTGAGGTTGATAGAAACAGTTCTTGATTGATTCGCGGTTTAGGGTTTAGAAGATTGGACAATTGCAGCTGTGAAGTAACCCTACTGGGTGTTCCGTCGTAAGGATGCATCTTGTAATGCTTATAACATCATATTTGGGGTCTTGGTCCCAAGCGGCTTGCAGTTGGAGATCCGTCAGTTGCAGATTAGAAGGCCAAACAAATTTGACAGCTGGAATATATAACATTTGTTTCTGTTGCTCGCAGGGCGAGTTTTTGGGTTAGCTGTTAATGTTAAAACCCCTGAGCACAGCTATCCTAGGAATTACAACATGCTTGAAATGTCTTTTGCGCTTCCGAGCGGTCACGTGTATCGCTGCGCTCTCCAACCTATACACCTTAAGTCCCGATTTCGTGATTATGTATGTGCGTATGTATGTATGTATGTATGTATGTATGTATGTACGGGTGTATGTATACATATACATATATACATAAATACATATACATATATACATATATACATATACATATATATATATATACATATATATATATATATGATGCATATGTATATGCATGAACAGCTGAAGCCGCTAATACGTAATGCTACACCTGAAGAGGTCACAACACTAAAACCCCACTACCCGGCAGCCTTCATACGCCACCGCCCTCCCGCATTCAAGCCATGAAGCCCCCTCTAAACCCCAAACCCTGAACACTGACACTGTCAGCTTAAAACCCTAGACAATTTTGCCCCTGAAAGCCCAGAAGTTCAAAGGTCGCCACCATTCTGGTGGTGTCGATGCTTGTGTGTTCCTCGGCGTAACACAGACAGAGATGCCCTTACCGCCATAGCGGTGAGAAGTGGGTACTTAGAGGATCAAGAGACTTAATTAGTAAGTAGGGCCATACGTTTAAGTAACGTTATGTCATGTTAGATCTACTTATAACCCCAATTAAGGTACTTATAACCCTAATTACCTACTAAGCAGGCAGGGTGGAGGGCTTCGGGGTTTGATACGGGCGCAGAGTTTAGAACTTATCGTCCGGCATTGGGTTTAATGGCTATAATAGTTGTAGGAATCAGTAGTTACTTATTTGTTCTTGACGGACACGCCCCTCGCGACCCCAAAGTCCGTCAGAAGAACGTATTTCTAACAGTCCAGATGCATGCCTGTATACTGGACCAGAAAACCCTATTCTGTGTACTTAGGCCCTGTATTTCGTTGGTCGGTTGGCTGCCTTAGCCCGGGGCTTCAAAGACCAGGAACAGGAAAAGTAGCAGCAAGCTTGCAAGGGGTTTAAGCTGGGCCCTAGGGATTGAGGTTTAGGGTCAGGTAGGTGGCACGAGCCCACAGCACAGTCGGCCCCTCAGTTCCTGGCATATGCGTAGTCCAGGTGTAAAAAGGGTCTACCTGACCGTCACGAACCTACCTTTTAATGTTCCTTATTGCTATGGTTTCCTGATATGAGTCCCGGAAAGGGTAGTTTAGTATTGAGTGTCCAGGTAGGGCCTATGTTAGGGGTCCTCAGAGTAAGGATCCCTCAGTTTTAGATCTAGGTTCGGGGTCCCCAATAGCTGAATGAGCACCCAAACCCGACATAGACATGCGACGCCCTGCCGAAGTCTCGTGCAAGCTTCTACACACCAAGCCCTAAGCCCCAAACTCCCCAAGAACCCTAAAGCTTAAACCCCTAAACCCTAAGCCCTAAACCCTAAACTCTTAAACCCCTTAACCCTAAACCCCTAAGCCCGCAAACCCTAAATCCTAAACCATGAACCCTGAGAGAATGTAAACTGAAAGCCCCAGGGCCCATCGATTTCTAGGGACATGAAAGCCATCCAAAACCCCCAAACCCTAAACCCGGATGCCTAGGCGGAAAAAGGAGTTCAAACCAAAAAAAAAACCGTGGACCATCGAACCTGACTCGAGGTACCACGTCTGTAGTCCGACCGCGAACCATGAACCTCTTCTGGCCGTGTCCGAGTTGTGAGCACCGGAACCCGTGGACCCTAGCTGCAAGGCTACTGTGCGACGGAAGCCTCCTCGCTGAACAGCACTCCTGGGTCTCTGAGCCTAGCAGACATCAGGAGGACCTACCTCATAGCACCCTGGCATTCAAGGTTTAGGCTTTAGGGTTCTGGGGAGTCTTTGAACTATGTTTTATGTGTTCCCCAATATGTTTAGTGCCTACCTCATAGCACCTTGGGCCTTCAACTCTTTCGTGCTACTAGAAGGTTTCGCAGCTGTTTTGTGCGAGCCCTCACTCGTTTGGGCTTGCCATGCTGTGTCACGGGTAGGTTTCGAAGCTCTTTTGTTTCGGGGACGCCTAATCTTTTCGGTTTCCTGTGTTTGTATTATTATTCATCGGTTCATAACTGTTGTCGTCATTGTTTAATTTTGTGTTCTGCGTGTGCTGTTGCGTGTGCCTTTGAAGCTTTGCGGGGGTTTGGAGTCTTATTGCAAGTAACTACGTCTGTAATTTTGTCTAGACTTGGAGCTCATCGTGGGTGGGGTTGTGTTTTTTAGGCTCTGGGGTTTCTGGTCCTGTAGAATCGTGTCGGTTGCGGGCCGGATGACGACTAAGAGGGGATCCCGTGATTCATCTAGGACCACGATTATCATTGGGGCTGGAGCTCCCATGCATGTACACCCTAAGAGCCGGATGCCGAATGTCAAGAGGGGATCATCACTGAACCGGTGGCTTCGTAATTCGCACATGGAAAACCCTCCAAAAGCCAACACTCACAACTCTATTCACACAGACGCACACATTTGTGCTCATGTAACCCTTCAGAACCGTAGTAGTTGAGTAGGTAGCCTTCATAAGTCTTGGGAAACCATAAACCCTATGTAATCCCGAAGGTTAACCTCTGGTTCTCCTAGGTTACAGGACGAGTAAAGACAAGCCCAGACCACAAAGCACACCTGGACCCCGTCTCTGGGTCCAACTGTTTTAGGGGCCTTAAGAACTGGAATCGGGTCTTTGGGGACATTATGCGATACTTATGCCCCAGAAAATTGTACATAATTACTAGGCCCCTAGATTGCATCCTGGAGCCTACTTATGATCCCAAAATTGTAATTATTTGGCCCCTAGATTGCACCCTTGAGCCTGGAGTTTATGCTTCTTTGCTCCAAGGACCCCTCAAAGGATGCCGACTTTGCCTGGGTATGTGCCGGGCGCATGCGCCGTGCAGTTGAGTTGGTAGTCTCTTTTCCTATGCTCATATGGGAGTTTCCCAAAATTAGGGGTACCTTATTTTGGGGTCCTTATAATAAGGATCCTACTATTTCGGGTGCTATATTTGGGTCCCCTATTTTCGGAAACTCCCATATAGTCAAATATATAATATCATCCATACATAAGTACATACAAGTTACATACACGCATACGTACACACACATATATATATATATACACATACATATCCGTATTTGTATCTACATTTTCATATGTCTTTGTACGGGGTTTGGAGTTCAGGGTTTTAGGATTGGGGGGGCCTTGCGCTCGACGGTGTAATGCGGCCCGGGGGGAGGGAATTTGGGTTCTTGGGTGATTGGTTTGGGGGTTTGGGGGTTTGGGGTGGCGTTTTGGGTGTATGGTTTCGGGGTGATTAGCAATGATTAGGAAGTTTGGGGTTCACCATCAAGCTGCGACAGTTGGTTAGTGTAGCTGAGAAGGGTAACTTCTCCTGACAGCAATTTATAGTATTCGGCTTCAGGGTTAGGGTTTAGGGTTAAAGGGCTTAGGGCTTGTAGGGTTTGTTAAACTTTGCCGGGGTTGTTCTGCTACCATTCGCTTCCATGCCCGTGGAGTGGAGCGAGGTTTGAGGGCTGACGTGCCGCTTGCTTCCCTTCGCCTCTTACTTGTTCTTCTCCACCTTCAGTGCGAGAGTATGGCTTGTTTGTAGGTCTGTATATCAAACGGGAAAAGATAGCTACATTAAGGCTATGTACCTGGGGGGTTCTTATTAAGGGTCCCTTCTTTTACCCTTGGGTATAGTTTCATGTGCTGTCTCCCCAAAGTGGCTATGTATATGTGAAGGAGATCCCGCCACTTTCGCGCTGTTGCATAGACAAAGCAAGAGCCTAGAACCCTTAAGGGGAACTCCAGAAAGTTGGAATATGGATTAATGGTAGGATCCCCGACAATTTACCTTAAAGGGGTTACGATAATGATATTCCAACTTTCTGGCGTCTACTGTAATGTGGAAGCCGAAAGTTTGCTGCTTGTTGAGCCGCTGACAAAGCAAACCACATATCCTAGCCTGTGGGTTTGTGTTGACACTTTTAGGGCTCAGTGTCGAAGTTTAAGCTGTGACGAGGAGCTGGTCAACCAAGAACCCCTAAACCCGCATCAAAACTTAGGCCGCAGAAACTATCTCAGCACTCCCCCGTCTAAACCCAAAACCCCCAACACCTTGGGCCCACCCTGAAATGATTAATCCCCTAACCATTGCCTCGTCTTTCAGCTCAGGTGCTACTATGTCTCAACATCGGTGGCCGCCTTCATGCGACTCCCCGTTTGTTCGGTGCGGTTCATGAGGGTTTCGCGAGGGTTTAGGGGGTAGACCCCGGCCGAAGGGCACCGCGCAGACAGGCGCTGCAGTGCAGATTCGTGCTTTCCCAAATGGTGAGCACATATGAAGTCAAGGGTGGAGGGTTCACCCTCAACCCTAAACTGCAACCCTGACCCTCGAACCTTTAACCAAGACTGCCTGGGCCCTATAAGTATTGCCAACACCGCCCAATGTGCCTAGAATTGCTAGGTACTACTACTTTCGGGACATGATGCACGTGGAGACTGAGTCCAGAAGACCCTCTCTGCAAATGCAGATCCACGTATTGGGCGGTTCTGAGTTAGGGTCCTTTCTAGCGTCCTGTCATTCTTATGACCAAGAGCCCTAGCTCAGAGAACCCCGCAAGTGACTTCGCACTCCCCATGAAGCCATGTTCCTTCTCTTCGAGCAGACCTCAAAACCTAAGCTCGAGGCCCTAGCGCCCGCGACCCCCCAAAGGCCCTTGAATGGAGCCCTTATGCTCCTGAATCATGGGTACTTGGGGTATATTAGAGGGTAGTTCTGGGGGCTCTAGGTAGCCCCTGACCCAAATGAAGCTTCGAGCCCTGAGCTCTAAGGCCTGATCATTGAGCCCATCTGGACCAAGCCAGATCGCCGGTGAGGGGATGGTACTGGTAGTACTAATCGTTCACACTTGTAGAGTGGAGCCCAGGAAGCGGTCTGACCGGGAACGCTCTAAACACGGAGTCGGAAGCTAAGGACGAATGGTAATCGGCCTCCTCGCCATTGTCACTTCGTCCTTGAGTTTCTTCAGGCTTAGGCTTGATGGTTAGGCTTCGAGCCCTTAAGACTTTACGATAAGGGTGCAGTTAATGTATGTTTGGGGTTCAGGGTGTGGCAGCAGCTGATCAGACAGGCATGGTTTTGAGCCCACGGACAGGTTCCATATGGGGCTTGGGAGTTTTGTCTTCATGATTGCGCACGGGCGAGGTAGGTTCAAGAAGGAAGGTCTTGATGTTGCTGAACTCAAGCGCCCCACTGTAAAAAACCCTGAGCAAGGCACCATCGAACCTGAACAACTCGACCTTAAACTCCCAAACAGCATTACTAAGCCTTAAATCTTAGATCCCCAAATCCGAATTTCCCATGTAGAACTCTGGATCCATACCCCTGAAGCACCACTTAGGTCATGCAGTGCGTCGGTATGCTGGCAGCCGTTCCCTTAGGACGACTTTCCAACCGATGGGGTCGGAGATTCGGCTGTCAATGAGTTACTATAAGCACAAGGGTTTAGGGGTTTAGGTCTGGGTTTAGGGTTTAGGGTTTAGGGGTTTAGGATGGTTTCTGTATTTGTTGCTTCATGGAAACTTCAAGGGGGCCGTTAAGGGTTCGTTCAGGGTGCCTTGTAGGGCTACAACGTTTTTGGCAAATCAGGCAGCAAGTATTTTGGGACCAGGGTTAGTGGTCTAGGGACGAGTGATGGTAAGGGAAATATGAGTGACTCGAGTTGCACGAAAACGCTTATACCCTAAATCCTCAACCCTCATAATTGGCGGGCCACACCATGGCGCGTTTAGGATATGTCAGGCTTCTGCACGGTTAGGAGAGGAGAGTTAGGATGTTGTTTTGCAGGGCCTCCGGGGCTTTGCAGGGCCTTCGTTGAAGCCTTTTTCATGGTGGGCTCATCGAGCTCTGGCAACAAATAAGTTCCTCGTCTCCCCAGAGATCAAGCAGGACTGTACATGCAAAGCACCCGAGATCCTCAATGCAAGGGGCCTGGCTTGTGCATCGCGGAAGGTCATGTGGGCTCGTTCAGGCTAAGTTGCTAAGTTGGACTGTTTTTCTTTTTTCTGAAGGGTTCAACGCAGACTATGTGTAGGGGTCTGAATATTTTGCAACACATAGACACTGCCCAATCCCTATAGGTTTCTAGTGTAGCAGTACAGTATACACCCTGTTCTAATTGCTCAGGTCATGCTATTTGCTATGAACGTCGCGATTGGCAGAAAGTTTAGCTTGGCTTCGGCGACCTCTCGCCTTTTCCCTTAGGGGTCCATGTAACTACTAAAGAGCAAACAAGATATACCTTGGCGAGGTAGGTTGAGGTTAGAGTATCTACCATATATGTGTACATGGACCGGCAGGGTATCAACTCAGAAGTTCATAATCCCCAAATTGTTTTCAGTGCATAGACAACCTTTGTGCTACAGCATGAAGGCAAGCAGTTTTATGTATCCTGGACCCTACATCCTCAAAAACACCAGTCTACAGAGCCCAGACTGCCGGTCCTAGCTAGCTGTACGGAACGCAAACACAGGTTTAAACTGCACTACACATCAGGAAGCCCGTCATCTACATCTCCTGCATGTTTATGTCCTGCACGTTCTTGCTGCGCCTCGGACCATCTCAGGCACCAAGCCTGTAGCCCTACTATACGGGCCTCCACAATTGCCAATACTATTTGGTGACTTCCTTAGTATAGTTTTAGTTTTGTATATCCGCACCCCCTCTTCTAATTATTAAGGCTCCTACATGACCTCGCTTGTGGGCATAGATCCCTAGCATGCGAGAGGGAAAATCCTGAACCCGAAGGCCTGCAAAAATCGAACCGCGAAGAGATCCTGAAGTGGTCACGTGCATCGGGGTGCTACTATTTTTACATGGGGAAAGAGCTGCAGAAACGACTGGGGCGAGTGAGAGGACAAGCTACTACCCCGTAGAATGAACATGACCTGTACGAGTTAACCTTCCCATGCAACAGCTGCGCGAATTATTGAGTGGAAGGAATTAGAAGCACTCAGAAAAGGTAGTGGTAGAAAACAAGTTGGTGAGCTGGGGTGCATGAGCAAAGAGAAAATGAGATTGAACCACACTAGCTAATTGCAACACAGGGCAAGCTCGAATTCGAGCAGCATGAGCCGCACTAAGAGGATTCAAAGTGATGGCGATGTTGTTTTAGAGCGACCAGCACCAGCAGCAAGCAGTTTCCCCAGCCTTTTACACGTTCGTCTGAAATCCTTCGGTTGGACCACAGTTGGACATCAATTCCATAGAGATTGCAGGGTCCGTAGAACATTCCAAAGGTGAGTGTTGCGTCTGCGTTCGCTGAGGGTTTCGCAACACTAGGATCGATCGTTCAGACTGGAGGATCCATGAGCCAGCATTAAGATAGGGGTCTAAATAGTTACCTGTACTATGCTGCTGGGGGCTCCTTATTACAATTATGGTATAATGGGCCCCAAAACCCTATTCTAGTTATCAAGGCCCTTATGTTAGATGTTTATGTGATGCTCCCAGCCGCAGACACGAAACTCGCTGGAGGCTACGCAAGCAAACATCTTAGTCGACCGGGACCCGCGAAAGCAGCCAACAACTTCGACACAAAGATTCTGAATCTCTTTGTCTGTTCGGGCCTCTGGTTGAACAGAAATCAGGAGCAAACCGCAACAGACCGACGGGAGGTGAATGACTATTATCGGGTGTGGGATTTTAGGGCTGAGTTTCGATTATGAGGTGATGTGTCCTGTCGAAATGACTCAGTCCGTCTCCTAAATCGGGCACCCTGAACTCCCAAAAACACAGTCCTATAGATCGCATTGACTGCTTCACAAGTTCATATTGGCAGCCTGCGCACTCTCCAAGACTCGTCAATTAGTAAGTTTCCTCCACGGCTCACGATCGCAACTTGTTTCTGCTCCTGGAACTCGCTTGGAAAGACTGCCATATCCGTCTACAAATAAGAGCACACAGTTGCCCACGTATATGTGCATAAGGGTACATGCGTGCAGGTGTATACAGTCAAGTCTGAATATGTGCATCTTTCAAGTTTGTATAGTGTATGTGTATATACATTATTATTATGATGAACATCATCATTAATATTATCACTATTCTTAATATTATCATTATTTGTTGTTGTTGTTGTTGTTGTTGTTGTTGTTGTTGTTGTTGTTGTTGTTGTTGTTGTTGTTGTTGTTGTTGTTGTTGTTGTTGTTGTTGTTGTTGTTGTTGTTGTTGTTGTTGTTGTTGTTGTTGTTGTTGTTGTTGTCGTGGTTATGGTTGTTGTGTTGTAGTTATCTTCGTACTGTTTGTATATCTAGAATATAAATATAAATATATATATATATATATATATATATTTATTTATACTATTATACGGATGTGTATCCTTAAGTGTGTATCCGTAAATCCCGCTTGGCATCTATACATACAGGTGCATATGTTCGTGTAACACTGTGTGTGACATGACTGACATGTATATTTTATATACACATAAATCGAGATAGTCAGACAGGGAAGTAGATAGTCATGTGACGTTATGCTTTGAATGCAGATGGTCCGGGCAAGGTACGTACTGGCGCCTCTGAATGCGAAGGTCTGATGGCTGCAAGCTTGCCTTGTCATTCGGACGTAGCAACCCTAAGCCTGTAATGCACAGAGACCAGAGACGATGGCTTTGGGAGCCTGGCAACCCGCAACTGTCAACCCTGCAACCCCTCTTTGGACCTCAAACCCTCAAGGTTTCGATCGATTTATGATATGTATAATTAATATATATATATATATATATATATATATATATATAGTGCCTTCAGCTTTCTGTTCATGGCGGCTTGCGATTGTAGAGGTCAAGTCCGTGAGAGCACAGAGCCTTCACAGTAGGGCTCAATAGGGACTATGGCGCGGTGGCTCTTTAGAGTGAAACCAAAACCTCATGCCCAACAAATCCCGAAAGCTGAATTGTAGCTTGAACCATATGTGTAAGCCGTAAGTCGGTTCACCGAACCCACTAGCGTAGCTTGGCACAAACAGTGGGTTTCTGAAGATCTCACGCCCATATCTTCCATGCAGGTACGACTGTGGACGACATTAGGTTTGTGTTGTCGTAAAGGGTGCCAAAAGGGTCGCTAGGGTCGTAGAAGAGGTTGAGACAGGCTCTCCGCCTCGCAGCCCCGCAGTTGTTTCATACAGATTCAGGCCTAGCGTCATCCAGGGAATGGGATTTCGGTTCGTTGGCTCTTGAAGGGCTTCACAGCAGGACCTGCTATGCAGGTTGTTACGATTATCGACCTCTGATTTCGTACACTACTTGTCGTATGTATGCAGCTGTGGACATATATCTCGGTCTGCAAGTATTGATACATATGCATGTATGTTTAGGATGCAAGGGGAAGTGCATGAGCAAGCGAACCCTGAAGCTCTCAACCGTTAGGCTCACCACCAGGATCGTTTCAAGCACTCGAGTCTTACGTGGGGTGTGATTCGAAATTTGGGATCTGATCACACCCCCCGCCCAATATTCAATGAGGTTGCTAAGACAAAAGCCAGATGCGGCACTCCTCATCCACCAAAACACTAAGAGACTGACGTTGCTTGATTAATTACCTACAAACCGCAAGTACCTCGAAACCTTGACACTCGGCACTTCTAAACCGTAGAATGCCGCTGCTAAGACGTCCTGGCCGGCGGTGGTGGCAGCTGCAGTGTTCTATGGGATTGGCTCAGGCCTGCATCCGAATTTTGGTGCTTAGTACTTAGAGGATCATGGGACGTAGTAACTAGTGTTATTATACTTAAAGTAACTATACTTATAATTACTCACAACCCCACTTCAGGTACGCATAACCATACTTACTAAGTCCCATGATCCTCCCCAAGTATTTCGATTCACAGTACGAGTCAGGAACTCGAAACCCGAAGAGGCCTCATGAATAAACCTCAAGTCTTGAGACCTCACAGACACTATAAAGGGAACTCCAGAAAGTTGGAATATGGATTAATGGTAGGATCCCCTATAATTTGCCTTAAAGGGATTACGATAATGATATTCCAACTTTCTGGCTTCTACTGTAGTGCCCAAACCGGAGACCCCAAACCCTTAGACTCCTCAGCCTAGAAACCTCAAAGCTCCAAAAAGAAGGGCCTGTGTCTTAGTATTTCATAGCATTCGCAGATCTGCCGGGCTGGAATCCGAGACATGAGGCCCTCCTTGAAGGTACAATAGCGGCAACATCGGGTGTGCCTTATCCAGAGGCCCTTGTAGTGAGGATCCCACCATCGGGGTCTATGATTGGACGCCTGAGTCTCTTGAGCTCCTGAACTTGGATACGCAATCCGAGAAGCAGCATGGAAGAAGGCCGGTTCTCTTGGATCGTGCGTGGCCTGCACTCCTGGAACTAGCCCACCAGAGTGGCTCTACTGTACCAAGAAGTCATTCAGGTGGAAAAGGCCCCCGCATCCAAAAGCTATCCCCAAACCGTAGACTCCAAT